GTATGTATCTAACCTGTGGGTCAGGCTGAATATCAGCAAGACTTGAGCTAGAGGAATTAAAGATTTAGAGGGCATAAAAGATTGAGGTTGTGAATATAAACAGGAAAACTTTAACTCAGGTGTGATTCACACTTAGTGGAGCTTATTTTGAGAATTTATAGAAGTAGGTGGTTTGCAGCCAACCTCTTATGTTTCCAGAAATTGGCAGTGTGAATTTGTGGACATCCCATACAATGCCTAATTTGAGCTGGGAGGAGCTGAGTTATGAATGAGCCTATTTCAAATTAGTTTCTCGACCATGGATCACCAATTTTATCAATTTAATGCTGAAGGTGTTTTTCTTCGCTTCGCTTCAATAATCGTTTGATAGGGTAGACCTACTAATAAGTTGTAATCGTCCCTAAGCCGATCACCAAGTCTAGTTTTTTCTTCTCATCTAATATTTGTGGGACGAATGTTCAATACACAAGTCTTTGTTGAATTCTTTTCATTCATACAACAATGCACATAACTGTATAATATTATAAGTCAGCACATACATGAATAACACGTCAAAATTGACATAATATATCATACATCAGTTCATATCATTATGAGTATAATTTAGACCATTTGTTGAGTAACTGCGGGAGGATCATCACATTGAGATTATTGTTATCAACTGATGGTGTATAATCGTTGATGAGCAGATATGGCACCTAAATAATGATTTTTCAAATATAACACGCCTACAATCAACTAAGTGCAAGCTTTAACACCTTCCGCCGCATAATTTACAATTTACAAAGTAAAGCCAAATTACTTCAGGCGACCTGCATTGTGAATAGAGCTTGTTGACATTTTGAAGATGAGTTTTTCACTTTCGAATTCCTGTGTAATCAATTCTTCTTCATTAAGAGATATCTGCGCATTTTAAAGGAATTTATCTTTCATTGAATCCTTGAATTATTCCTAGTAGTGGTAGGTAAATTCCAGTGCTAGAATATTTCCGAAAAAGTTCGTTAAAGTTATAATGTTTTTTGAATTAATTTTGAAACGATTTTTGAAATGAAATTTCATAATTCTTCACTTCCTTCAACATAGTATTACAGCATATATTTAGCTGGTCATTGTAAAATTGTGTTGAGGAGGCGAAGGAATTATGAATATTGAATCTGTTCATTGGTCCCTTATTTGTTGTTCTAATCAAGAA